TTTTTTTTCACGTTACAGAGGTTGTGATCGCATCATCCCAGTAGATATCTACGTACCTGGCTGTCCGCCAACTGCCGAAGCATTGATGTACGGTGTTTTGCAGCTGCAGAAAAAGATCAAGAGATACAATACCGTGCAAATGTGGTACCGCAAGTAGTTTGTTACATCAAAGCCGATAGCAAACTAAGGATTAAATTATGTAAATATGACAACTTAATTTTTTTGTATTTTTTTCCTTGTAGTAGTATCATATCAAACCCTCAGCAATTTTCAGGAAATTCTAAAAGCATAGGGATTAACAATAAAAAAACGTATGACTAAATGTTTCTACTATTATAGAAACAATATTTATTTATATATTACATCACTTCGATTCTTACAAGAATCGTACACATAAAAAATTGTATCCTTCTAACAAACACTTAGGGAGCACAGTATAATTTTTTATCTATATAATTTTTAAAAAGGCGGGAGTATTTACACGCGTTTATTTGTATACATAAGAGATCTTCTCGAACTGAAAAAACCTGAAATCGCCTCTACTTAATACACTACTCTAAGAATATAATAATCAAAATCGTGACTTCAGGTTTCCTAGTTGTGAAGTTACAGTTGTTTTGTTCATTTTAATGGGGACCAAGGCCTGTTCAATCGAAAAAACCAGTTGTAAAGAAAAAGGTTTTTACATAAATTATTTTCTAATGTTCTACAAAAATTATTCATTTAATGGCACTATTCAAGACAATTAAAATACCAACATTACAAATTTAAATTAACTAAACATTGAACTAAATCATAATTTAAAACAAATCATCAAACGCTGGGCCTTGGGCAACGAACATCTTCAACCAGTATTAACTAAAGATACATAAAAAGGAAAGTGTGTGAAAATTTTGAGTATCGTTTGTATAGCTTTGCATCTTTAAACATCGATGTGCCACCCGGTAAACGAACTAATTAAACTAAATTTTGGTCCACAATTTTGATGCGAGTATGGTCAGCCTCATGTAATTTTGATTCGATTTATTGCTTCAAAAAACAAAATACATACTACTATTTAATTATACCATTCAGTGAAACTGAATAAAGTCATTATAGGAATACTGCCGGAAAAAGTTTTTTTTATTCAATTATGTAAACAATTCTGTTTAGTAACCAATTATATAAAAGCTACAGACTGCAAGGCAACGAAAGTATGTATAATACTTTGATCTATTCTCTATTAATATGTTATGTTGGTCCAACAATTCAGCGAAATTGAAGACAATGTATCACGTTTCAGATATTGTTGTTGAATAGTTGTAGATGTTTACCCTGTAATTTTAAGATCTAAAAAGCGCATTGATTTTCCAGCTGCCTTTGTTCACAAATAAGTAAGATTGATAATATCTGGCCCTCTCATTTGTTGTTTATCCAAGTATATACATTATCTACATATATCACTGAAAACATTTATGACTAAAAATTCGCTTTTCGATCGGGTGGCACATCGGGTGAATGGTTTTCGTCCAGCCAAAAAATATACGCAAATTCTAGAAATACAT